CAAATAATGTCACAGATTCAGCAGTATCATGTGAAGAAACGTCACCAAACGACATTTCTGTGGGTATATAGTTGGACGCTCCCCTCGTTTTTATGAAGTTCCAGCAGATGAAGGATTGGCCTTCACAACATCCTGAACTCAAAATACATACTCGCGACATAAAGAGGACACACTAGAATCGAATTTGGAGGTTATAATTTCCGGAGGAGGGGGGGGGGGGCGAGGGGCAGGGTAATTCCAGACATATTGCCATTCTGAGGAATATACCGAAAAATATACACTGGAGTCGCTTTTTACGCGGTTTTTTTTTACACGGTTTTTTTTTACGCGGTTTTTTTTACGCGGATTTTGGAATTTACGCGGTTTTTTTTACGCGGATTCCGGAATTTACGCGGTTTTTTTTACGCGGATTTCAGAATTTACGCGGATTTCAGAATTTACGCGGTATATCGCTTTTTACGCGGTTTTTTCTTACACGGTCTTTTTTTACGCGGTTTTTTTTTACGCGGATTTCGGAATTTACGCGGTTTTTTTTTACGTGGATTCCGGAATTTACGCGGTTTTTTTTTACGCGGGACGTATCACCCGCGTAAAAAGCGACTCCAGTGTACCTATTTTTATACATCATCTGATAGTTTTTTTTTTACTGAGCACAACGATATTTTTACCGATCCCGAAGACATTCATCTCGATTTTTTATATAAAGATTTAAATTTTTGATTCTTGACAGTAAATCTATTCGTTGAAAGCTCGCTTGATATTTTAGATTTATACCACAAAAGAAAAACAAATTAAAATCCAGGAAATCTTTAAGACAAGAGCCTTCTACGCCAAATGACCAATCGGAATCGATCTTATACGGTTTGGATTAAACTTTGCAAAATAGTGTGTTATGGGCAATCATTCACATTTTAAAAAAAATCGGCCATGTTTGGTGTTGTATTTATTTTTTTCAACATGGCGTCTTTAAGATGCCATTTTGGATCTTGTAAATTTATTCAAAAAGGCGTCTTACTTACTTAACGGTCCTGCGCACCACCTGGATTCCAGTCCAGTGCTTGCTTAAAGATTTCGTTTCCGCTCCGTCGTAGTGTGTGGCCGACCCACCTTCACTTCCGTTCACGAATTTCTGTCTCTATCGGCTTCTTATGGCACAAACGATGAAGCTCGGAATTTGAGATCCAATTGTGGGGTCACCAGGCACGAATTATGTACCGCAGGCATCGGTTGATAAATACCTGCAGATTCTGACTGTTCTCCGCTGATACACACCATGTTTCACTGGCATATAACAGCACAGACTTCACGTTCGAGTTAAAAATTCGGATTTTGGTGCGTCGACTGATCTGATTCGCTCTCCATACATTTCGCAAACTGGCAAAAGCAGCCCTCGCCTTCTTAATCCGTGCACCTATGTCGCTCTTGTTGCCGCCATCCGACGCTATCTGGCTGCCAAGATATTGGAAGCTTTCGACTTTCTCCACTGCCTGCCCAGCTACCGTGAAATTGGAACGGTTTTCCGTGTTGACATCCAACGATTTGGTCTTGTTGACGTTGATGGTTAGACCTGCTTCAGAGGACCGTTCCACAAGGTCTTCGAGCTTACTCTGCATGTCAGAGCGCCGTTGTGCTAATAACGCAACGTTATTAGCCAAATCGAAGTCGTTGAGATGCTCCATGGTAATAGGCTGCCACAGCAACCCACGGTTCGGTACACGGTCAACGGCTCCAACCATGATCTCGTCGATTATGATGAGGATCAGTTGCGGTGATAATAGACATCCTTGCCTCACACCCGCGATTACCCGAATCGGGTCAGACAAAGCTCCGTTGTGCAACACTCTGCATGCGAAAGCCTCGTACTGCGCTTTGATGAGGTTGACGATCTTATCAGGGACTCCTTTGCGTCTCAGAGCGCCCCACAAGTTTTCGTGGTTTAGTCGGTCGAAAGCTTTTTCGTAGTCAATGAATACCAAGTACAGGGACTCATGGAACTCATTGACCTGCTTCAAGATGATGCGGAGCGTGACAATATGGTCCACACAGGATCTTCCAGCACGGAATCCTGCCTGCTGTCGTCGGAGAGTCGCGTCGATCTTCTCCTGTATCCGATTGAGGATAACTTTACACAGAACTTTGAGAACAATACACAGTAACATGATGCCTCGCCAGTTGTCGCATACAGTTGGATCCCCCTTCTTGGGAACTTTTACCAAGACGCGTTGCATCCAGTCGGCCGGAAAAGTCGCCGTGTCCCAGATATTGACGAGTAGTTGATGCTACATTTGTGAGGATAGCATGGGGTCAGCTTTGAGCATCTCTGCTGATATGCGATCGACCCCCGGGGCTTTGTTGGACTTCATACTTCGGATGGCTGCTTCTATCTCCAGCAATGATGGAACTTCAGTGTTGATGCGAGTAACGCGCCTCACGCTTGGTGGATCATGCCGAGATGTTGATGGTTGGTTGACCGTTGAAACTTCGAGAAGTTGTTCAAAGTGCTCAAACCAACGTTTCAACTGTCCAGTCCCGTCTTTCACAGGCATCCTTGAGTTCATCCTTGCCCCGCTCAGGCGTCGTGAAACATCATAGAGGAGGCGGATATCGCCAGTTGTTGTGGCTTTCTCCCCCCTTCATCAGCCAGGGAGTCCATCCACGTTTGCCTGTCCCGTATACAGGAGCGCCTAACTTCCCTTTTTAGAGCCGAATATCGCTGACCTTGTTCTTGGCTCCTCGGGTCGTCCACTGTTCTTCTACGCTGCCACCTTCCGGAATATTTGCTGCGCGAGCCTCGAGTTCTTTGCCGAACGATCTCTTCACTGCTGGGTCTTCCAGTCGGCGTGTGAACCTGGAAATTTAGTGTTGGTACTTCAAAAAACTACAAGGGACAGCCATATGGGATTGTACGCAATGGTGACGTAGGACTACGTGGTCGTATATAATAAATTTTAGCAGCAGGAGCTTGTGTTTTGTGTAGGAATAGGAATTTGAGCGGGGTTCTCTCTGTTTATACTCTTTAGTATGACGCGCTTGACATAGATGGTCCACAGCGACTCACAAAGAGCTACTGATTCCTATCAATAGCGGTGTGGCTTCTTCCTCTATGGACGCTCATGTGGGCTGCAGCTTGTTGCTTGCAGGCAGCCTTTTTGTGTGTGCTGGAGAACAATGTTCAACCCCATGCGCCGAAAGCACTGCTGCTGCTGATGCCGACACCACCACACACGGTGATTGGACTGAATCCAGGGCAGGGAGCCTTTCGTTGTATACTGGAGAACACCACCACTCACCACGCGGTTATTGAATAAACAACGTTTGGTGCGACCGGATGAAATTCAACTTTGAAATCTGTATTAGGGAAATCGCTTTTCGCAGGCAATCGGTGATAATTTTAATTATCATAGCAACTATTGCACATTCGTGCAATTTTCAATAATGACGTTTTGAAAAATGATAAAGTCTTTGATTTAACAGATGCGTAGAATTTTTTCTGATCCATTGGTGATAAAATTACTGAAATTGGTCCAGGAACAAATGAGTTATTAACGTTCAAAATCTTTCATAATTTTGTTACATGTTCCATTTTCGGTTTTTTCAAAGTGTACCCCCATATAAAAATCACAGGCGTAGTCCTACGCCAAAACCTGGAAAACTCAGGGAATTATGTTGGAATTTTTGAGTTGCCACGCTGATCGATAAAACTTATAATGTTACTTCAGGTTTGTTTACCATAGCTGTTTCAATAAATCCGGGAAAACCATGTTATACTGGAAAATTTAAATTCTGAACAAAATCTGGACTGCTCCCACTAGTCAGATTCCTGGTTTAAACAAATTCTTCACGATCTCACATGTCCAAATGTTGACTTGAAAATGTTTCCGGGAGCTCAGATTCGCAAAATTATTGTAGACTTCGATTTTTTTTTATGTGAATAAGAAAATTTTGCTGTCTCCGAAATACTAAAATGTTTGTCTTAAATTGTTTAAGCCTACAGTAGGAACGATGCGTAGGATAAACTTCCAACGTTAACTTCAGACACGTGATAAGGCTTATCAACTCAACATCCACATGCTGCTGCGATAATGGGCTCTGCCCGTCGACTGCGTTGAGACACCATCACCAACAGTATGGAAGTCACGTCGTCGAAAGGTCAAGCTAATCCCCATAAGGCCATCATTCACTGCTCTATAGTTGACATCCTGACGTGCTGGCTGGCCAAGTAAATCAGACGGGCAACTTTTAACGTCCCCGTCTCAATGTCAACGGGAACAAACCGATTGCCAAGACATGATACTCTCAGCTTTTACCGGTCCCGAAATCAAACACCGCCTGCCAATCCAGAACTAGACCTAGTGGAAAGCAAGCAAAAGTTTAACTTTCCCATCTTTATCTTTCTGACCCCGTTCCCATCCCTTGTCCCTGCCTTCGTCACGTCATCGCAGCGAGTCCGGTGCAAAGCCTCAAAGTGATGGAAAACCGCACCTCAGAGCTCAGCGCAGGACGACCTACGACGACGGTGAAACAAAAGGGAAAACCAAACAGCTTCCATCCGCACCCCGCCCCTGTCTGTTTTTTTGTAGAAGGACTCCGGGGTCCACAAGAAGCCTCGAAAGAATCAGAAAAAAGTCATCATTCATTCCGGAGCGCTGCAGGAGCTCCGACGATGACGGCACTGGCGTTCTCTTCGGGGGGTTGATGGAAGTTTGGTTTGTTTGAAATTCTTTTCCGGTGTTCTGTTTTATAAAATATTCCGCGTGGCTTTGCGGTGTCTTGCTCCGGTCTTTCTGCTGTCGCGTGGAAACTTATTTTTTCCTCCCATGCTGAATAATATGTTTGCCAATGTTGTTATCTCTCTGTGCCACGACGAAATTGAGATCCTTCCTGTTGTTTCGTGACATTTTCCAAGAAAAATTGGCGGAGGAAGTGCCGGGAAAGATTTTAATATTTAATGCATTATAAACCTAATCCGATTCTGTTTTTCTCCTTATCCTCTTTCGCAGATACAACAACAACAACAACAACAACAGCCGACGGCCGGGAAAACGGAGTGGATTGAATCGGGTCGTCGTCGTCGTTTCCTATGTATAGATGTATAGATATAGTTTGCTCGCGTGCGGCATATTTTCCAATGTCAAATTATGAGCGGAATTCAATTTTCCGGTCCCAACCGACAGAAGGTCACACTTTCCTCCCCTTAGAGTAGTAGCATTAAAATAGGAAAAATCTTCCCGTTGGTTCTTGCGTCGAGTCCCGAGCGGCGAGCGGCAAAAAGTTTATAAAACAGAGTAGGAAAAAGTTAAGCGTAAATGTTGGTTTATGTTTTTATTTTCCCGAGCGGAGAAGAAAAGTTAAATGATAAAATATCTTTATTAAAGTGAGTGGAAGGAAAATTTTCTTCCGGTTGATTATTTGCATTCCGTGAAGTGGAAAAATGTCGTCCCACCATCTGTACGGGGCGCTGATCGCGCTGACCTGTGTGCTGTGCTATCACAATAGCCTAAACTGTGGCTTCGTGTTCGACGACATCAGTGCAATTAAGGAAAATCGGGACCTGAGGCCTCATTCGTCCATCAAGAACGTCTTTCTCAACGACTTCTGGGGCACGCCGATGCATAAGGTGAGTTTTGCATTTGAGTATAACAATTCTTAGTTGTTACAGGAACAGAAAATTGTAGGCAAAATATTTCTAGAAGCGAACAAAATCTGTTATAAAACCTTCTAGTCTACGCTGAGTGATTAAATTATGATGTTGTCTAGGGTAGGTGTAACAGTCAGGACGTTCCTATTATGCAGTGTTCCAATGTAACTGTCAAAAGATAAGCAAATATAAGCTTAAGAATTTAAAGGAAATAAACCAACACACTCAAACCTCTTTATAAAGGGATTCCGCTAAGAGGTTCGACAAATTTAAAAGATTCATAAAATATTAATTAAAAGTATGACTGATCTAGCTAGTTTCATACAATTTAATAAAATACGGGATTAAAGACAACTGTTTCAAATGCTGGATGAAGGTCAACCAGATGAATTTCTGCCTTGAGTAGTGGTGGCACGAGTACTGGAGTTTAACGTTTTTTCCTTAACATTTGATACTTTGTGCAATGACCATAGAGTAGACACACAAGCACAAGAGCGGTTCCATATCATTAAAGCAACGAGTAATTTTCATCTTTTTTGATTTGCATGAAACCTTGCATACAAGTTTTTGGGGAAGAAAAACGCCGTTTTGCATACTTGGTTCGCCATTTTGAATCTAACCTTACTTATGAGAAGGGCCTATGAAAAATGCACATGATATCTTAAAAAAATTGTATCTCAGAAACGGTTTGTCCGATTGGTTTGGTGTCTTGGGCGAAGTTTTAGACAATTGTTGGTGTTATATGGAGAAAATATGCACAGTAAAAAAAAAAGTTTGGTATTTGTGTTTTGAACTAAAATATAAATTTTCCCTTTAAAGTGACATGTCAATAATTTTTTTATTATCCTTATGTTATAGCTGACTGAAAATGCTATCTAGTGCACAGTAGGTTGTTCTGGAGAAAAAGAGGTTACGATGAAAAAAAATGTTTTTTAAAAAAATACAATTTTCAAAAAAGCTATTAAGAAAAGTCAAAAAAGTTTGTCACCCTAATTTTATGAAAGTACATCAAATTTGCAAACAAAAAGTACTTCAGTAACATTTTTCTAAGATGCACCGTTTAGAAGATATTACTGATTTAATATTGTTTTTTTTTTGATAACTTAATAAGTTTTGGCCCTTTTCGGATGTACTCCGTGTTTTTCCAGTTTCAAAAGTATTTTTTTCGGAAAGATTGGAAAATTTTGAGTTAAAATGACACTGACAGCTTAAAGATTCGAGTGAAATTCTCTGCCTTAAAAGTATTTTGAAAAACAAGTTACAAAATCCCACTATCAGGAACAATGATTTCTTCAAGTGATTTTTGGTGCGTTGTGCTGAAAATGTGCATTCAACTCTTGCATATCGCCTAACAGTTTAATCCATTTAAACTGGATGTGTTTATACTGTGCATATTTTCTCTCTATTGCCGAACATCGCCACAGACATCAAACCGATGAGACAACTCGATTTCGAGATACACCTTTTTGAGAACTGCAAATGTAAGCTCCTCAATTAGCAAGATTCAAAAGAGCGAATTAAGCTTATTTTTCAGGGATGGTGATTGTGCGCAATAAAAAATAACATTATATGTTGGATATCATCAGTTTATTTTTATTCCTGTATTTTTATAAAATTATTGTTTACACTACTTTCTTAACAATATTGAATATTTTGGCATCATTTTCAGGACAGTTTGAATTTGTATTTTCTGATAGAGGAAGAAATGAGTGGAATTTTAGAGTTCCTTGAATTGTTTTTGCATTATTATATTGATTATTTAGCTGCAAAGACATATTTTCGTATTCTTCTGTAGTAGAATAACAAAATGACAACTTTGTAAGTTCTTCTTCTTTTCGTTTGTTTGCCCAATTAAACAACTCTCTTGCAGTCTTTATCGGGTGTTCGCGTTCTTTGGCTAAACTTGCTCTGGTAGCCATGCGTTTTATCGTACCTCCAATAGCATCGCATGGACTTTTTCCGTGCGATGTTGCGAAGAAATGCCATTCAGCGTCAATACCATACTTTAACTTAAATTTACAAAGGCTAGAAAAGTTTTTTCGGTTTTTATACTGTGAAGCAGCACCATCTGACATAAAATAATTTTTTTTTTATGTTTTTATTTTGATCAATTTGTAAAAAGTTTATCATTTTATCAATAAACAAATTGGCAGCGACTGAATCATGTCTTAGTTCTTCAGAAATTATAATGAAGCTAAAATGTTTAATTTGCATATTTTCAGTATAATATATTACGAAAGGATGGATTGTGGCTTGTTGCACGTTCCAATGGTGTGATTGAACTTCATCCTGCAAAACGAAGCTGTAATTTTCAGAAAAGTCACAAATAGCTAAAAATTCATCATCTTGCAAGTTTTGTTTTGTAGTTTTCAAAAAATTGGATTGTTCGGTTTTTACAAAATCATGCGGAATCAAACTTTCTAATTTTGAGCTGAAAAATGAAACAAACTCATCGGTTTGCTTTACAATAGTTTCTAAATCACATCTGTCAGTGGTAACCCATTGTTCGAATGAAAGCTTTTCAACAAAGTTTTCTTCCAGTTGTTTCAATAAACTGTCTTCTAAAACTGAGGTATCTGGGCAGTTTTTACATCTTCGTAGATGGCAATGAGTTGTCTTATTTTCGCAAAGTAATCTATTCGTTAATGTTTTTAGATCATTCAAGACAGTGTATTTTTTTAAGCTATGTAGAATTAAATTGACATTTTCATGCGTAGTGCAAACGCAAACATTATGTGTTCCTGTGATAGTCAATAGTTTACATTGCCTTGGCCGGAGGCTTGCAAATGATGAAAACCCTATTTTTACATTGCCGTACATTTCATTAAAGCGATTAAAAGCTTCTCTCAATGTCATCATTAACAATCTTTTCTGAACAGCTAATCTCTTATTTCCTGTCTTTACGCTAACAAAATCTCTTTGGCCTGGCATTGCACGGCTTATATCATCGTCCTCAAAAAAATTCAAAACCAGTTCTTTTGTTTCATTACTCAAAGCTTTTCCAGAGCTTGAACCTTGAGATGAATCAAATACATTATCTCTTTCCTTTCTTGCATCTGATGCCATATTTCTACTGGTTTTAAATTCGTCTACAATTTTTTGTACTGACCATGATTTTGGCAACAATGATAAAATTGATAGTTTTTCTTGCCTTGTGGCTGAATTTAAAAATTTAATTTTCATATTTTCTATGACTTCATTAAACTCGTTTGCTTTTTCTGTTTTAGCGTCTAATTTAAAAATATTTCTTCAATTTCGACAATTTCAGCGCACTTTTTTTTCAGGATAGTGAACTCTTTTAACCTTACCTAAATCTATAGGCGAAACACGAATAGCTGCTATTCCTCGGTTGAATATTTCGACGTCTACAGGCATCGTGAAGTCTTCATTTGATTTAATTGTGCTTAGCGTTGACTCTGATGGTATCGTGACCAAACTTTCATAGCTTTGCGAATCAGGTACATCAGATATGGTCTGAACAGTTGGCATCCTTGAGCCGCCGGCTACGCTTTGTTCCTCGTTTTGGGTGAGGTGAGCTCTTGAATCAATATGTAGACGGCAAGACGAACAAACACGAAAATCCTTGGTGTTCAGTGTGGATACCTTGGAAAATCCAATTGATTTTAGTTTTTGGGTGATACCATCCGTGAGATATCGCAGCTCTTTCGAACACTGAATGTCTTTGAATGGGCGAATACATCTTATTTTACTCATTTTGTAATCTGTAACATAGAAAATATTTTCCAATTGTTAGTTTTGTACGAAAATATCACAAACAAAACATATATTTACTGTTTGGTTTTCCCTAGTAGATACTGGATGAATTCAGAACCGAGTCAGACATTATTATACAGCTCACGGGTAGAAATCATAGAATGCTGGGTAAAGACTGTTGGAAGATAGGTAGAGTTGAACGCTCAGGTATCGTCGAACCTTCAGGTACGAGTTTGGAGAGTTGGAGCGAGGTAGATTTGCTGGCGTAGGTATATTGTTATTGAAGAAGATTGTAAATTGTATATACCTGGAATGAATAAAGCGTGCGGCGGTTGTTGATTGAGGTATCAGTCGGCAGCCCTCTAGTTTGATGGAAGGTGACTACTGCGTTCTTTTTATTTATTATTAAGGAACGGTCAACGACGGAGCTAGCCTCGTTATGGCCAGCGTGGCCATGGTGGACTAGTTCCAACAAAGACCATGTTTACAATCACCAACTGTACGTAGTACAGCTAACTGGTATCTGATTACCTGTATCTAATACTTGTTAGCACGTTTTCAGCACAACGCACCAAAAATCATTTGAAGAAATCATTGTTCCTGATAGTGGGATTTTGTAACTTGTTTTTCAAAATACTTTTAAGGCAGAGAATTTCACTCGAATCTTTAAGCTGTCAGTGTCATTTTAACTCAAAATTTTCCAATCTTTCCGAAAAAAATACTTTTGAAACTGGAAAAACACGGAGTACATCCGAAAAGGGCCAAAACTTATTAAGTTATAAAAAAAAAAAACAATATTAAATCAGTAATATCTTCTAAACGGTGCATCTTAGAAAAATGTTACTAAAGTACTTTTTATTTGCAAATTTGATGTACTTTCATAAAATTAGGGTGACAAACTTTTTTGACTTTTCTTAATAGCTTTTTTGAAAATTGTATTTTTTTTAAAAAACAATTTTTTTCATCGTAACCTATTTTTCTCCAGAACAACCTACTGTGCACTAGATAGCATTTTCAGTCAGCTATAACATAAGGATAATAAAAAAATTATTGACATGTCACTTTAAAGGGAAAATTTATATTTTAGTTCAAAACACAAATACCAAACTTTTTTTTTTACCATGCATATTTTCTCCATATAACACCAACAATTGTCTAAAACTTCGCCCAAGACACCAAACCAATCGGACAAACCGTTTCCGAGATACAATTTTTTGAAGATATCATGTGCATTTTTCATAGGCCCTTCTCATAAGTAAGGCTAG